AACGACGACGCGAGGCGCAATGCCAAAGAGGCAGCAGCGTGCATCGCCAAACCAGCGCCGCCCCTCGCCAGCGGCGCGCGGCCAGGCGGTCGCGACGAAGGCGCCAAATGCTCTCCGCTCCGCGGCGGCGGCGGAGGAGGCGCGAGGCCGCTCGGTCACGAGCACGACGCTGCACGGCTCGTCTCTCGCCGCGCGCAGCAGCGCCGTCGCCGACCCGCCGTGCCGGTCCGAGGAGAAGAGCAGCCGCGATCCGCCGGCGGGGAGCGGCAGCACGTCGCGCAGCGCCGCCTCGAGCTCGGCGCGCGACGCCTCGTCCTGGAGAGCGAGCGCCCGCGCCTCGCGCACGCACTGAGCTCGCCGCCAGCGCTCGAGCTCGAGAGGCCGCTCGCTCGCGCACCGCTCGCAGGCGCCTTGGCGCGACGCGGCAAAAAAGACCTGGCTCGCCTCGCCCTCGTCGCACACGGCGCAAAGCAGCGGTCGGAGGCGGTTGACGAGTGCGCGGAGCGGCCGGTCGCCCGCACCGCCCGAGACGACGAGGGCCGCAGCGGCCTCCTCAAGCCACGCTTCGAGGTCGTCGCCGCTGTCACAGCCGAACCTGTCGACGCGAGCGATCCAGCTTCTGAGCGAGTGACGCCACACCTCGTCCGGAAGGCCACCAATGACGAGCGAGAGACGGGAGAGGTCCTCGACGGAAAGGCTGGTGCACAGGTGCACGAGCGCGTCGGCCGGGAGAGTGAGCAGCGGAGGGAGCGGCGGAGGGGGATCGTCGCCGGGCGAGAGTGTCAGCGGCTCAGACAGACTACAGCGACTGCCGAAGAGGGCGCGGAGGAGGTCCATCGACGCAGTCGGTCAAGCCAAGGGGGGGCTGGGTGGCCGCGGCTGCGGCTGCGGCTGCGGCTGCGGCTGCGGCTGCGGCTGCGGCTGCGGCTGCGGCTGCGGCTGCGGCTGCGGCTGCGGGCTGCGGCTGCGGCTTAGGCTCAGGGCGCTGGCGCGCGTCACGAGTTGTGTCTGTGTCGACTCTGCCCCGGCGCGTGCAAGAATTCGAAGGAAGTCAAGGGCCTGCTCTTAGATGGACAGTAGTGGCCGAGAGCGAGGGATACGGAGGGGAGCACAAATATACGACGCCCAGCATGGCTCTACTTGCAAGAATTCGTGGGCTCTGTTGACAGGAGCAGACGGCTTCAGATGAAGCTAAAGAACACCAATTGGGGAAGGGAGGCCGGCACGCTGCCACGCACCAGGGCAGAGGGATTTTGACCGCGCAAGATAAAGGGTGGCTAAGGGCTCTGCCCGCAAGGCGCCCGCGTCGCCGACGCGGTACCATTGACTAATCCCGGGATTCACACCCACACGACCAAATAGCGAAAATCCGAATACCGTGCAAAAACCACGGAATCTGGAACGAAGAACGTCGGGGCAAGTACCAGGGACCAGACTCGCCGGATGATCGTCTCGCTGCTGTTCGTCACGTTCGCCACTACGGGCCCAGCCACAGGCACAGCCGAGGATCTCCTCAGCTCATCGGATACCCTCTTTGGCGGACAGGTCTCCGGAGACAGCTTCCAAGTGGGATTTAGCGGGTTTACAGCCCCCTAGGGAGGCGCCTCTTCGCGCGCTGGATGGATTAGGCCCGAAATATCTCAATTTCGCGAAGTTCAACACCGGGATCGTAGATTCGTAGTCACCCCCCCCCCCCCCCTCTCTCTCTCTCTCTCTCTCTCTCTCTCTCTCTCTCTCTTTGATGCTCTCTCTTGCCCATCAAAACCTCCTTCTTGCAAAAAAAAATAAGCCCTCCACAAAAAAAAAACACCCAAACACCCTTTGTCCTGCTACGAAAAACTTGGACCCCCCCCACCCGGGAAAATTATGTTCCCCCTGGGGATTCCTGGCATCATCACACCTGTGTAGGGGCCCACCCCGACCACAACGGGGCCCCAAGGGTGATTTGTTTCAACATTCCTTCAAAACTGCCATTAAACGTT